AGCATTTTTGAAATATATTCAGGAAAGGCACGGGGATTCCTTGAAAAAGGTTAATAAATCTCATACAATCCATCTTTTTAAATGTTTCTAATAATGATCTTAAAATGGTTAAACATTTTAACTAAATCTGTATTACATCATGAAAGACGCATGAAACACCTGTGTTGGACATTTACTTTGTCTCTTAAAAAACGTGGTTGAAGGATACAAAGTCAATGAACTGGATGTTCTTTTAATAGGTATTACTAGAATGGTTTCATTTGAGCTCATAGTCTGTGTTGCATCAGATCTCACGAGCTAAGTAAAGTTTGATTTGGTCAATTAGAGCCACACTCAGGAATTAGGGGAACCAGAGCAGGCTGTAGGTTTGAAGCCTTCTCTAAACATTCCACTTTTTATCCATATCTATCCTGCTCACTCATACACACTGAGCTGTTTTTCCCATTCCATCTTCTGCTTCCTATTCTAATCTCCCTGGTTTTATAAGTGAATTTATTTGTCTTGTACTTTATTTTATTAGGGAGTTCAGTAATTAGGGCTGTCGATGAAGCGCGATTAACTCAAAAAAATTAATCATACTTAACTGCAGTTTTAATCACACTGTTAAACTAGAATACCAATTGAAATTTATTAAATATTTGTCTACATTTTCATATATATTATATTTGGTGTTGTAATTGAAATCAAAGCGTATATTATTTTTTATTACAAATATTTGCACTGTAAAATGATAAACTAAAGAAATAGTATTTTTCAGCTCACCTCATACGTACTGTATTGCAATCTCTTTGTCATGAAAGTGCAATTTACAAATGTAGATTTTTTTTATTACATAACTGCACTCAAAAACAAAACAATGTAAAACTTCAGCGCCTACAAGTCCACTCAGTCCTACTTCTTGTTCAGCCAATCGCTCAGACAAACAAGTTTGTTTACATTTACAGGAGATAATGCTGCCTGCTTCTTGTTTGCAATGTCACCTGAAAGTGAGAACAGGCATTTGCATGGCATTTTTGTAACCAGCGTTGGAAGGTATTTACATGCCAGATATGCTAAACATTCGTATGCCCCTTCATGCTTTGGCCACCATTCGAGAGGACATGCTTCTGTGATGATGACGCTCATTAAAAAAATAATGCATTAATTAAATTTGTGATTGAACTCCTTGGGGGAGAATTGTATGTCCCCTGCTCTGTTTTACCCGCTTTCTGCCATATATTTCATGTTATAGCACTCTCTGATGATGACCCAGCACATGTTCATTTTATGAACACTGCAAAGAAGGTACCAATGTGAGATTTCTAAAGATAGCTACAGCACTCAACCCACGGTTTAAGAATCTGAAGTGCCTTCCAAAATCTGAGAGGGACAAGGTGTGCAGCATGAAGTCTTAAAAGAGCAACACTCTAATGCGGAAACTACAGAACCCGAACCACCAAAAAAGAAAATCAACCTTCTGCTGGTGGCATCTGACTCAGATTTTGAAAATGAACATACGTCGGTCTGCGCTGCTTTGGATTGTTATCGAGCAAAAACCGTCATCAGCATGGATGGCCGTCCCTAGCCATTCTGGTGCCCTACGCAGCCCCCCTGGGGGGGGGCAGGGGCTGGCCCCAGTCCTCCATGTGGGGCAAAAGCAAGCTTGAGAGGGCAGGGGGGCAACCACCCCCACAGCACAAGCTTGCGGAGTGGAGCGGGTTGGGGCCGGGTTGCTCCACTTCCTGCACCCCCCCGCACTCATGAGGCAGCGGGAAGTGGAGTGACCCAGTCCCAGCCTGCTCCGCTCTGCCTCCCTGGCTCCCAGCCTTGGGGGGCCAGGGAGGAACCGCCCCCCCAACCCCGCATTCACCGTTGGTGCGGCTGGGGCCGGGTCGCTGCACTTCCTGCTGCTGGTGAGTGCAGGCCTGCCCCCTGCTGCAGTCCTCAGAGGAGTGGGGGCAGGGCTGGGGCAGAGCAGAGGCGGGGCAGGGATGGGGGCTTTGTGGAAGCAGTAGAGTGGGGGCGGGGCTGAGGCGGAGCATGTGTGGGCAGAGGTGGGGTGGGGGCGGAGGCTTTGGGGAAGGGGTGGAGTGGGGAGGGCGGAGCAGGGTCTGGTGCAGCACGCAGCTGCGTAGGGCACCAGGAAATGTGGTGCCCCAAATTTCCTGGTGCCCTACGCAGCTGCGTACTTTGCGTATGGGTGGGGACGGCCTTGAGCATGGACGCATGTCCTCTGGAATGGTGGTTGAAGCATGAAGGGACATATCAATCTTTAGCGCATTTGGCACATACATATCTTGCAACACGGTGCCTTGAGAACACCTGTGACACGGTGCCATCAGAACACCTGTTCTCACTGTCGGGTAACGTAAACCAGAAGCGGGCAGCATTATCTCCTGCAAATGTAAACAAACGTGTTTGAGCAATTGGCTGAACAAGAAGCAGGACTGAGTGGACTTGCAGGCTCTAAAATTTTACATTGTTTAATTTTTCAATGCACTTTTTTTTACATAATTCTACATTTTTAAGTTAAACTTTCATGATTGCACTACAGTATTTGTATTAGATGAATTGAAAAATACTATTTCTTTTGTTTTTTTACAGTGCAAATACTTGTGATCAAAAATAAAGTGAGCACTATACACTTTGTATTCTGTGTTGTAAATGAAATCAATATATTTGAAAATGTAGAAAACATCCAAAAATATTTAAATAAATGGTATTCTATTATTAACAGTGCAATTAAACACGATTAATTTTTTAATCGCTTGACAGCCCTCATATATATATATATATATATATAAAATCTTTCACTATGCATATTATGTTATCCAATGATGACGTCCAACTGAGGTGATTTTTGACACCCGTGCACAATGGCCATGTAGCAGTAGCCTTCAGCGTCCGTTTTAGTATATGGGCCCTCCCGGGAGGTGGTGGCAGCATACAGCACTTCAAGAACTGATTTATTTCCTAGTCTCTTTTCAAAATGACATCTCAGGCCAGGCACTATGAAAACTAGCATTCGTATGCAGAAGTCTTTGGGGTTGGAGCATTTGTGTCCGCAAAGTTTTGTCCACTGAAAAAGCTGCCCAATTTGTCATAAAATTAAGCTTTAAATTGCAGAAATGTAGTCAAAAATAAAAGTTCTGCCTTCAGCTATATACAAGCAGTATCCATTGACTAACGGGCTGTATGTGACCAGTTGAAAGTAGAATTTTCTCCTAAAATGCTAACTGATTTGACACACAAAAGTTCACATAAATGGAGGAACAAATGCTATCCTTCCCTAATAGTTGTGGCAGGTTCTGATTGCAGCAAAACCAACAAGATTCCACAGCAGAAGGGAGCACTATGCTGGGAGCCAACTGAGAGCTCCATGTTCATTTAATACCACATTGCAGGGCTTCCTTATGTTCTACTACAAAGATGGGTTTGGGGGATGCAGTTGCGCTGGAGGCACAATTGCAAACATTCACTATCAGAACTGTTGTGGGCGTTATAAAGGGTCACATTAGCTGGAAGGGGTTCCTACAGTATTTAGTCAGTAGTAGCAGGCAAATTTTTTTTCTGCTCAATTCAATTGCTTTCTAAACACCTCACAATTGTTAATGTATTTAGCCTCCCAGCATGCCTGTGAGGTAATGAAACCCTATTATCCCAATTTTACAGATGGGGAACTGAGGCACAGAGAGGCTAAGGCCCAGATCCTCAAAGATATTTAGGCACTTAACTCTGCTTGAGGAGTTGGGCCTGAGTGACTTGCCCAGGGTCAATCAGGCAGTCTGAGGCAGAGCAGGACATTGAAACCAGGTCTCATGGCCCAGGCTAGCATCCTAACCACTGGACCATCATTCCCTTGAAGGTTTACCAGTTGCAGGATTTGCCCGCCCCTTAGTAGTTTAATAATATTTTACTTAAATATGTATTGCATTAAGCATGATAATAATTACTTTATATTTTTGGTTTTAGGAATTTGAGACTGTGTTCTGTGGTAAAACAGGCAGGAGACTAAAACTAACAAGAGCTGACTCATTAGTAACATGTCCAATGCAGGAAAACATACAGAATAGCACAGCAATGGAGATCAAGTAATTTGAACTAAATACCCAGTGTTTTATGGAAAGTATTGATACCTAATGATGTTCCATAGCAATTATTTTATGTCCACATACTGGACTTCATCTCCTGTGACTAATTTGAAATTGAAGGATCCAAGAGTGACTTGCAAAATATAATTTGTAAAAATACATAAATAGAACAGTAAAGAAAACATTCTTTATTCAAAATGGAAAGATAAATGAATTACCAACAATATTAATTGATCAGTGTCCTCTCAGAGAGCTTTGGGACCAGAGGCAACAAGAAAATGTCATGACAGCCACTAAATATTTTTTCCCCCCAATAGCTACCAAAATCCATTTTAACTTGATATAATATAGTTAGAAATTGTTATAGACCATCAACCTGTCCTGTTGTATTTAGTCAGTCATGAATGTACATTCCTGTTAAATGTAAAATAAATAAATAAATAAAGATGCCATTATAGTGCCCATTTCGCAATTGAAACAGTGAGAAAATTAAATTGGTTAGTGCTTGTATAATAAGTACACATCTTACAAACAATATTATATGCATTGGAATTCAAATTTGAAGTTCATATTGAACCGTACATCCCCATAGGACTAAAGAATCATACAATGCTATTGGCATTGCTTTTAAAATACAGTAGTATTTTAAATACTTCTTGCACAAACTGTCCAACAATTTTCCTGTATTGTTGCTTTAGTCCAAAAGTGGTATATTGTAAACGGTGAATTATTTAAGTGCACAAAATATTTTCATATTAAAAGAGTAGAAATGTCTCTACTTGTTAATAAGATGCAATGTTCAGGACAGAAATAGTATATTTTATGAACTGAAAAAGTGGTTTTATTAATTTCTTAAAACAGATGATGCTGACAGGTTTTATAGTACAAAAAAAGTCACTCCAAAATAAATACTGTTTTAAATCACGGATATTCACAATTTTGCAGCAATTTATTTCTAAATAATTCTAATAAAAACAATTGGGGGAAGATGGGGTTCGGTAGAACAAGCTTTGATGTGTATAATGACAGTTACAACATCACAAAAAAAGGTTAAAAAAATCTCCTTTTATTTTTACAATAGTTCACACAGTAATTTTGGCTGGTGTTGAGAAGAGCATCCTTTCTGACTTGGGATTTTTTTTCACAAATTCTGTGCAAATAGCTGAAGTAGAGGGTGTGAAGATACTGTTATTGAATATCCTTTATTATAACATGGAAATATACAAAAACTCTCCCCTGTAAATTATAATATATACATTACACCCTTTGCAGAGTTAGATTGCAAGAGTGCAAAGGGTTTAACATTTACTAGCCATGGCAAATGTTTGAGGTACAGTCTGATAATTCATGATGGACAACAAAAATACATGGTCAATGATGTTCAATTAGTGCCTGAACCACTACTGAATTCAGTGAACATAGACTCAAGCCTTTATGCAAAATAGCCACAAGCTTTTGTACAGTTAGGGAGATGACAGTAAAAGGAGCAGCGCTTCCTCCTGTAGGTCTCTTCAACAAAGTGGGGAGGAAGGGAAAGTGAGACTGATTTGCAGTAAAAATTCTGGAAAATAAGGGGTGGGGGTGGGGGTGGGGAAACAATTTTAAGCATCTTTTTAGTAAAGGTTTTTGTCTGATGCTTTCCTGTGTCATGGAACTGAATTACTGTGTCAAAGTCTCCATTTTATTCATTTTAATAAAAGGAATATTTGTCCATTTATCACTAGGAGGATTCTGACTCTTTTCATACAATTCACTGTTTACTTAAATATTCAGTCACTTCTCCACTTTTAGTGCTGAAGATTTTTTGGATCCTCCTCCAACAGCACCCATGCAGGCTGATGTATCACAGATTCCTGGAGTTCCCTGAGCCCCTATTGCACCAGGTACACCAGGATCACCTGGCAGACCGGGTTCACCATGAGCACCATCTCGACCATCTTTACTAATTCCAGTTACACCTGGTGGACCTTAAAGAAGAAAAAAGAAAAATGGTTTAGGGTGAAATCCTGGCTTTTATTTGCATGTAAAATTTAAAATATTAGGTAGGTATGTGTAAGCTGTAAGAGGGTTATATCTAGTGCTGTATTATGGCTCTCTGAAGTATAGGATATCTGTAGTAAATATGGTAATGGTTTGAGCCACAGGCTAAATTCTGCTCTGTTATAATGGTCTAACCCTGGAATAACTGAACTGTATTTAGTGGAGTTACTTTGGATTTACACTGGAATAGCTGCCAGCAGAAGTTTGCCAATTCATAGTTGTTCCTACATATATGTCTGCTTGTTTTTGGGACTACCATACTTCGCTGTGGCTGATCATTTCAAAACTGGCTTCTGAGTGAGTCATCTCTCTACTACCACATAACCCAGATTATCATGGTAACTGTAGGGAGAAAGGAATTCAGACATAGCACAAACCACATGCAGCACAGCCCCTCTAACAGCCTTTATTCTAGCCTATAGTGATTGTTGCCTCTTTGATGTTCAAAAAAATGTGTAAGGCTGGGATTTTCAAAAAAGCCTAAGAGAGTTAGGTGTCCAAACTCCATTGAATTTTAATGGGATTTGAACACCTAATTTCCTTAGATCCTTTGAACATCTCAGCCTAAAGTCGTAGAGGATCCTCAACTTGGCCTCTAATTTTGTACCTGCTATCAAGTGAAGGTGAAATAATAGGATTCATGTGGGTTGATTCCCAAAGGCACAAATCGGAGAGTTAAGCACAAAAGCAACTCTCGTTTGCCATTTGGGAAATCTTCCCCTTGTGTCCCTCTACTGAATTTGTAGATGCAGTAAAAATGTCCCCGTAAAATACATCGTCTTAATTATACTATGAAAAGGTCTATCTAGGAGGAGATTTATCATAAAAATAAAAGTATATTCCTGAATAAACAGGTATAGGCCATATTGCTGTCATTTGGGTACTTTCCTGTCATACTAAGTACTGCATCAGCTTACCTTGAAGTCCTTGATCTCCATCAGGCCCATCAATACCTATGCCAGTGCCTCCTTTGTCTCCCTTTTCACCTGTATCACCTGTAATGATGTAAAGACATTTAAATTTAAATAATAATTTACAGAGACAGCCAAGTTAGCCCTCATATGTGGAGGGGAAAATCCTGTCAGCATAAAGGGTAATGCAAAACTTAGTGCCAAGAAGCTACCTGCATGGATCCAATTGCCAGATTTGGGCCCCAGGTGTGCACATTTTGCGGTTTCTGCATTTCTTGGAATTTACACTTTCATTTTTTAATTTAAAAGTTATACTTTCATTATAATTGGCTGCATCTTAAAATCACATACTCTCACAAGTGGAACTTTTATTAGCCAATCAGATCTCTTTACAATTGTCCATCATTTTATATTAAGGATAAAGG